AGCAGAAATTGCACATTAATTAAAATTAATCACTTTCCCTGGTGTTAGTCTTACCTCACGTACAGTAAAATACTCAACCTTAACAAACAATTTAGACTCATTTTCAGCTTTGAAACTTTGTTTTTCTCAAACAGAAGAGAAAAGTGGCCACTGGTTTGAGATAATTCCACTTTATCAACTTGAAGTTTGTCTTGTTTTAGATATGTGTCAAACAAGATCTATGAATACAGCTCGATGTAGTTGCACTGTGAAAATAAAAGGTCTACAAAATACAAAACTTGATTCTGCAAGAAAAAAAGTCAATTGAAAAGTTGTTTTACTCTTTTGATAGAAAATAGTGTGTGAAGAAGAAAGGAAATGTGATAAAATTTTACAAAAAAAACCCCAACATAAAACCACATGCCTGACCAGAAATTGATTATCAATAACTTCAGATGTACTCACTTTTCGCATTGGCTGATGTAAGAGCCAAAACCAGCAGCACAAGTGCCAGAGTCCTCATCCTGTGTTTGTTAGTCTGTGTCCTCTCTCTGAGCCCCGATCCTAACCCGGCTGAACCCCAACTCCCACAAACACGACTCCCAGAGAGATTTAAAAAATATCTCCTCACGCTCTTTAAGAGGGCCTCAGACCTGAATTACCATAAATTTCTTCTCACCTCTGACATCATTGTGAGTCTGTAAACTGGCACCACCCACTTCAAGAACAGATGTAAGTGCTGTTTTGTTAACTATTGTTGTGAATTGCCAGAAAAGTTGTTTCCACTCGTATTTTTTTAAATTAATATTATCTTTTTTTTTTAATTTTATATTCTCACATAAAAGTGTTTTCACTTCATGTGTACCGTGTATTTTTACTTTTGAGCCTCATTTAAGCCCCATTTCCATTGTCTTTTTCTGATTCTGATGCTACATGTCATACAGTAAATACAGTACCTCCAATAAAGCGTCCAGGAAATTGTACAGTAATCTAACACAGAAAAAAAATGGATAAAGTGCACGTAAATAATTCAAGTGAACACAAAATAATGGACATCCCTCAAGTAGGACAATAATTTCTAAGTGCATTATTGGAAAATCAATGGATGCTTTCTGCACAGTATAAAGGCAAATGCCGGCTTTAGGATGGAGAGTAGTGAGAACTGGGAGCAAAGCTCGAGTCATGCCTGTGTTTGACGTATGACCTTACAGCTATGTGTGCATGGGCGTCACAAGATGAGTGTGTGGACGGCAAATCAATGGCATCCTTTTATTTCCACAGCCATTGCTCCGTATCCTGCTGTCCACCTCGGGCTGCTGCAGCTCTAAGAATCTGTGCTCGTGGTAACACACAGACACACCCGTGCTCGGATTATGAGACACATCCTCTGTAACAACGCAGAGTTTCATTCAGATGGGGACGAGAAAACATTTACTTGAATGAGCTGATCGATTCTGGAAGTGATTGAAAAACTAAAACCAATTTTCACTCACATCGATTTCAATATTTTTTGTGCTTATTTAGAGTGTTCTCTCAGCAAATATGAGTCACATCTAGTCTATGACAAAGCATCCCACATGTAGCATCTTCAAGTAACATGATGCAAATGTCAATAAATCCTGAAGATATCATTGATACATCACAGTTAATTATTTATGTTTCTCTGTTGGCCTGAGTCTAATCGGGATGTGCTGTGAAACTGGAAAATAGAAGAGCAACATTTAAGTGTGTTTGTTAGGTAATCCACCGATCAGTTTCTCTATAATAAAACAGAGTAATGTAGACTCACATAGTATTTATCTAACACATTATACATGTTTATACTGTGTTACAGCACGAGAAGTATCATAATATGAAAACCTTTGCTGTTGAAGAGGCAGGGTTGATTCTCACACTCATAATCTACCCATTCATTCAATCAAAATGAAGCAATGTGCATTATAATAATGGTTCTGGTGAAAAATGCCATATTTAAGGGAGAAATATGAATGTATAAAACATGAGTAAATAATAAAGAGCGGATGCTTTCATAAAAGCTTTTATTATTTACTCACCTTTTATTTATGTTGTTATATTTAGTATTTTTATTTAGTTATTTATTAGTTTTTTACTTTTCCTGTTTTTGTTTCCTGTTTTTGCCTTTTCAGATTTGCATGCATGTTAACTCCTATGAGCAATTAAAGTTAAATGAAAGAGATGATTAAGTGGTCATACTAAGTACTAATATTTTACTTTAAAAAATCAGTCATTAAGAGCTCTGTTATCACAGTGATTGGTGGTTTTCCCACTGATGTTGTCTCATGTCTGTGGGTCTGTTCAGGCTGCGCTACATGTGACCTCTCATGTGCTAACAGCAAAGTTCAGGAGGAAATAAATCCGCCCCACAGAGCACCTGACTTAACATACCACAAATAGTCAACCATCAGCCTCTTTCCTCATTAGTCTCTACTGTATAGTATCTTAATAGCATTGTTGCTGTGGTTCAGGGACTTTCTGGGATTAACATGAAATTTTGAGAGCTGTTTAGACAGAAGAAGTCATGGGAAATAATCAAAAATCAGGGAATTTTACAAGTGCTCACTTTCCAGGAAAATTCTTGGATATGTTTTTTCAATGTATTACACAGATTTACTGCATTTGGTAGTTGACTTCACAATAAGTCAAATTAAAAAAATTACATGAATTCTAAAAAATTACAATATTAAAAAAAGTAGTGAATTATCACATTAACTGAATAAAAAGTAATCAAAGTTCATAGACTTTAACAATGGGGGCCAGAGTTAATTTCGAGTGCTTGAAAAAAAACACCTAACCACAGAGCCACTCACTGACCTGCATTCACACACACACACACACACACACACCACCACACCACACACGACACACCACATAACACACACAACACACGCACAGCTCTTTTCTAAACACTAACTCACAGAAAATGAGGATTGTGGTTTGCAATCGACCAAAAGTCAGATCAATAAGACCATCTGGTTTGTAAAAAGCCAGTTGAAGATCAGACCAGACAGTCACATCAGTTCATGAATACAGCAAGTCCCAAAAATGGGACAATAGAAACCTTTCAGTCGAACATGACTTTCACCAGGATACCTTTCTGAGGTAGCTCTTCTAAAAGGGTAGCTACCTGTTTCCTAACAATGTCCACACTGATTATTCTTTTGCATGTGTACTAGTAGCCAGAAAGAATAGTGACCGGCATCACTTTCAGAAACAATCTCTGTTTATTAAACAAAATTAGACAAAACTAGAAACCAACCTACATTCTCATCTAACCATGGCAGCCTTTTTAGCTTGTCTTTATGCCTCTAACTCACACATAAACAATAAATAAATGTTTCCTTTGTTGTGGACAGAGACTTAACCTCACATATAAATCTGCTGGGTGGAGACATGTCAAGCCTCTGGGCTTTGATCATGTGCAGTATTGGGCATGAATGCTTTCATGTCTAGACGGATCAACAAAGGCTGTTTCAGAGGACACCTAATGCCTCATGACAAAGCCTGGTCCATATTTTAGATCAATATGGACCAGTTGTACCAACATTGACCTACCCTACATCTAATAGGAGAATCAGTGAGATTCTACATAAGTCTACATAAATACAACCACAAAATCATGATAAGAAGTGGAAGAAAAAATAATGTGTCCCTCTTCATGTTTCATGCCACCTTGAAGCCAAATGGTTGACAGATAACGACATAGGTTATTTATCAGACCTGACAGGACTTTGGGTACGTTAAACTGTTCACTTAAGCATCCTGGTGACCTGTTGATTCCCATGATTATCTAACTGCTCTGTCACCGGCTTGATTCCTGCTGGAGATCTTTGTTGCATGTTGCATAATATCATTTTAACTTGCCACACACAGGTATAACTCATAACATTACTACAGCATTGCAATAATTCCTGCAACAAAACCATTAATAATGTTAGTGCTAACACTTAATCTTTTATTGTCAAGTCAAAATGTCTGCTGTGAAAATGGTCTTTGAATCTTGTTCATTTAGAGGAGAGTTAACAAAAATTTTTGGCTTTCCCAGAGGAGGCATGACAGAGAAAGGTTAGACACCTCAGCTTTACAGAGCAAGTGATTGCACAGCTACACTTTCTTTCACTAGAGGGAGCAACTGTCCTCCCTCAGTCCCTCCAGTACACAGTGAAATAATTGAGGGCATATTTACTGCATCAATTTGACATTCACAGCAAACCAGACTAAATCAATAGTGTGCAAAAATTCTGAAATAGTAAACAAAACTGCCACTCATTAGATTAATGAAGGTATTCTGAAAGTAATCTTGAAAGTGTTGCTTGTTTCTTTGTGTTGTGTTAGTTCACTGTCATTTGTTTCTACCAAATTTTGCTCAGTTGATAATAAAAGAGAGATTGAGCAATACACAAATGTGAGTAGTAATCATAGTAGTTCCCCTGTTAATTGTTCTAAAATTTGTAAAAAATAAAATAAAATAAATAAATAAATAGAAAAATTTAAAAAAAAAAGAGAGGGAGATTTATGAAGAGACTTAGATTTTGTTTAAACTTTCTATTTTTTAAATCAGGTTTCTGTAAACGTCACATGTGTTTATCTTTATTTTATAGCATGATATATTTATTTATTTCGATTAAAATAAGAAATTAAAAAAAAACTTCCGCATCCGCCTCTTATAATACACCCATGCGTTGAATATGTCACCATGTGACCTGTGAGGGTTGTTCGTTGAATGCTCTTTCTCATCCCGACATGAATCGACTCCATCTCCCGACTTACACTCATTGACATTAAAACCAAGAATTTTAACACAATTGACAAGTGCATTTGAAAAACATGTTTACTTACTCAGCACTGCCAGTCTAATACAAGACGATTCCCTCGGTGGGCGCTGGTGAGAGGCGATTAGAAAAACTCAAAAATACCACCCGGCTTCGGTTGACGGTGTGTCCTGAACAGAAAAACGAACGCTCTCGGGGTAACGCGGGAAACGCCGCTGTGTTGGTTCAGTGTTTTCCACAGAGCAGCAGCCACCGCGCTAATCCTCATATTTACTGAACCCACCATCACCAGGGCCGGCTAATGACCCTTTCTACGGCTTTTAGTGGCTTCACTCTGACCTGAGAAAGTTTATCCTCAACAGGAACTCCGTCCTCAGGCTGTGGTGAGTCCGGACAGTTTTAACCACCCCGGAGGAGCGGTTAATTATATGTCGGTCCCCCACGTTTGTCTCCGTAGCCACCGAGCAGTTGTTAGCTCCGACACAAAGAGAGGAGTCTTGCTAACTGGCTAAACAACCAACAAACTTATCCGGAAATGGATACGTTTCAGAAAGTGGAAAAGATAGGAGAAGGGACGTACGGAGTGGTTTACAAAGCGAAGAACAAAGTCACCGGAGAAACTGTCGCTCTGAAGAAAATCAGGCTAGACACGTAAGTAACCGTGAGACTGCTGCGTGTTATCATCTGGCCGATTTCTGCTGCTGCTGCTGCTGCTAACTACACAGCTTCCTCCTGCCGCGCTGAACACAGCTGAAGGATTTTCCCGGGTTGACATCAGAAAATAAAAACATTACAAAAACGATGTGTGTTATCCACCAGCCTTTAAGCTGTAGCTGTGCTAAGACAGTACTAACATATATCCCTGTGCCCCTAACACTTATATTTCAGATTTTATTTTTCATACACATTGTACAGCATCCATTTAGCTATAACATCAAAATACGATCCATTTAACGGAGAAGAACCTATAAGTACTGTAGATGTTTTTGCATTGAGTCCCAACCAGCAAAGAGAAACGACTCTGGTTGAACTCATGTCTGATAAGAGGTCACAAGGTGAGCTGAAACAGTGAGTTGGTTAGCTGCTTAGTCGACTGACAGAAATTAATGTACAACTATATTGAGAATTGAGCAATCGTTTGTTATTTTTCAAGCATATTTTATGAATATTCGGGTTTTGGGTTGGGTGGACAAGACATAAAAACATCTCCTTGGAGTTTTGACATTTCATAAACTAAACGACTAAATAAGAAAAATAATTGTCAGATTAACTGATTATTAAAAATGGTTAGTAATAAGTTGCAGCCCTTTGCTTTATTGTAAGCAATCGGGGTCACGGGGTCAGAAGCCCCAATAATTCTGGGAACCACTGAATATAATGCATATTTAAACATGGGTCTGATTGTTGCTTCAGTGCATGTGTAAGTATGTAAGTGTATTCCTTATTTAGGCCTACAAAAGGAATTTTTTTTATTTATAATATTCCTGTGCTGTCATGCTGTGCCAAGTAACAGACATTTCCCAGGCCTCAGCAGGTGGCACCAGTGAGTCTCTGTATCCAGTGTTTTGTGACTTTTGTGTCAGACAACAGGAAGCAAAATCATTAGTGGGCTTATCGGTCCTTTTGCTGATTTGTTAGCTGTACTGCCAGTGATGGTGCAGTGATGTAATTATAGGACTTAGAGCAGTGCCACTACAACAGAGGCAGCTGACGGCACGACTTTGGTCGTCTTCATCCAGTTATTTTGTTTTTATCAAGTTAGTTTTTGATTGGATGCTTTACACCTGCCCCAACTGTCAAGACACAGAAAAGATAGAATAAAACTAATTAAACACGATAGTGAAACTGTCGTCACATCAACAATAACCAAGCAGAAGTAAATGACAAAAATGTTAAAATGACAGTTATTATAACCTGGTATGTATGAGCGAGTGACACTCAATAACATAACCAGTTAAGTTACCATGGATTTCATACAGGGAAACGGAGGGTGTACCAAGCACTGCCATCCGAGAGATTTCACTTCTCAAAGAACTCAGTCATCCAAATATTGTCAAGTAAGTGCTTAATCTTACTTTTGGCTACTTGCAAGATAATTGTATTGTTTGTGTCAGATTTTAGTCCAACCTGCCTGTTAATGCGTTTCAGATTGCGAGATGTCATCCACACCGAGAACAAGCTCTACCTTGTTTTTGAGTTCCTTCATCAGGACCTAAAGAAGTTCATGGACTCCTCATCAGTCACTGGTATCCCACTGCCTCTGGTTAAGGTAAACATCAGCTAGATTTGCAAAACAGATTGGTCTTGATATCTTCAAGAAGAAAATGAACTCTGTCTGAATCGGCTCACCTGGGTTTATATTTCTTGCCTTTGTAGAGTTATCTTTTCCAGCTGCTGCAAGGCCTGGCCTTCTGCCACTCCCACAGGGTCCTTCATCGAGACCTGAAGCCACAGAACCTCCTCATCAACGCTCAGGGGGAGATCAAGCTCGCTGACTTCGGCCTGGCAAGAGCCTTCGGAGTACCTGTCCGCACATACACACATGAGGTAAAGTGTATAGCTACCTTCTTTGATCCACGCCAACAAGCTTGTGAAGTAAAATAAAGGGTTATATGATTTAAAGTGCAAATTCATTACTATGACCAGTTGGGGAATGAACTCGGAAAGTGTTCAGACCCCTTTTAATTTTTTCACATTTTGTTATGTTTTAGCCTTATGCTAAAATAAATAAAAAAAAAAAATAAAAAAAAATCAATCTAAACTCATACCCCATAATGACAAAGTGAGAGCAAAATTTTAGAAATTTATTATAAAGGAAAAACTGAAATCACACTGACATAAAAATTCAGATCCTTTGCTATGACGGCTCAGGTGCCTCCCATTTCTCCTGATCATCTTTGAGATGTTTCTACACTTTGATTGGAGTCCACCTGTGATAAATTCAGATGATTGCACATGATCTGATCTGAGCAGAAGGGCCTTGGTAAGAGAGGTGACCAAGAACCGGTTCATCCCTCTCACTGAGCTCCAGAGATGGGGGAATGGGGAAGTCATTTTGGGGTACTGAGTGTAGATTTATGAGGTAAAAAGTGATTTTTTTTTTTTTTTTTTTTTTACATACAACATAACGAAATGTGAAAATATTAAAGAGGTCTGAAGACTTTCCGAATGCACTGTACATTTACGAACCACAAATTTCCCAAGCTAGGGTGATGCGTTTTGTCAAATAAGCCTTCAACAGAAAGTGTTTCTCTTGCGGCACATTTTTGTGGATATTTTGAGTGTCTCTAAGTCGCTTCTGTGATATTTTTCAGGTGGTAACACTTTGGTACAGAGCACCAGAAATTCTCCTTGGTTGCAAATACTACTCCACAGCTGTCGACATCTGGAGTTTAGGCTGCATCTTTGCTGAAATGGTAATGCACTCAGTTTTCATCCTTCTCCACTATACAAGATGCACAATGGATCAACATCTCACCAACAGTCGGGCCTCACTGTTCTTCTTGTACAGATCACCAGGAGGGCCTTATTCCCCGGCGACTCAGAGATCGACCAGTTATTCAGAATCTTCCGCACCTTGGGCACACCAGATGAGACCGTCTGGCCCGGAGTCACATCAATGCCCGACTACAAACCCTCTTTCCCCAAGTGGGCCAGACAGGATTTATCCAAGGTTGTTCCTCTTCTTGACGAGGATGGAAGAGAATTGCTTGGAGTGAGAGCCTTTGCAGTCAATTCATACATTTGTTAATTTAGCACATCTGCCCAGGAGGTTAATGTTGTATGTTTGTTTGTGTATTTATTATCAGGAAAAGTATATGAGGCATATAGACATTAATTGACATCATCTTTCTTTCTTTCTTGTTCTTTCTTTGTTGTTTTCTGTCTTTGCAGGAAATGCTGAATTACGATCCAAACAAAAGGTTATCTGCCAAAAATGCCCTTGTACATCGATTCTTCCGCGATGTCACCATGCCAGTTCCTCATCTGAGACTCTGAGTCGAGCAAAATATCAGGCCATTTTTTATGCCAACAAACGTGTAAGCAATAAGGACCTCAGCCTCCTTTCAGGACCATACCTGGAATAGACAGAAACGGTGGACACTACAGGATATGTTGGATCCTTTATGGATATTTGATAATACTGAAAACCAGCTTTCTAGAAAATAGATGTCCTGAAAGTTTTGCTGTTATTTCACCTCTGATGTTGTAATAGTTATGAATGTTTAACTGTAATTTTCAATATCATAATTTTGCATATTTATGTGCAGCTGCCATGTTTGATGTAAATGTTATTTGTGATTGGGATGTTCCTCTGACTGAGTGCAGGTCAGGCAGACACATTCTAGTTACGTGCCATTAAATTTCCCAATTTAATCGGTATGTTGGCTTCAGGATGTCCACATTCAAATAGTCAAGTAGGTAGAATTAAATGTTGTCGCATACGTTTGTGGGATAGTGCAAATAACAAATGCCGTGCTTTGTAAGACTGAGCAGCAGCTGAATGAAAGGTGGAGTGACAACTCAGCACAAGTTGTCACACAACAGACATCGTAGGCTGATGTAAAACAGTTAGTGCTTAAAGAACATGGAATTATAATCATGTTCATGTAGTTTGATTCTTACAGTTGACTTTGGGTCCAAAGTATCTTGAAGTGATTTTAAAACTGCACCTTGGCTTGTTGAACACAGAGAAATGCTTCATTCGGGTTTTCTGGCAGGATTATTTACCAAACTTAAGTTCTCAGCTTTGTACATACAGTTACGATATTCAAATGTTCCCTGTTCTAATTCAGATTTTACAGAATTTAATGGGCTGTTGCATTTTTCTTATTCAAGATTTTATCCAAATTTAATTAACTGTTTTTTATGGATATTGTTTATTAACAGTTTGAAAAAAATAAACTTGTTCAAATAAGAGTTACTCATGATTTTGGTCTCAAGTCGGCAAATGAAAGGTCAGTAGTCTGTTGCAGTTAGAGCACAAGTGAATCATTATTTTCTTCAATTTTGGAGCCAAGTGAAACAATTCTGCCAAATACTTTGTGAGGCAGAAACACCACAAATGCTGCCTTGCCTTATTAAATCAAATTACTGTTAACACTGAAGTAATCTCTGGCTGGTCAAATACACAGGCCCAGTTCATCTCATCAGACATGTTAAGAAATTTATGAGGAAAGTTCGTGTCAGCCTGCAAAGTTATGTCATGAATTGGCAGTGACAATGAACTGTTTAATATTTCTAATATTGAGTTTAATGTGTACAAGTCAAATTATGTGAAGAAAAAACATGATGTACAGACTGAAATGATATAAGTGCAGGCAAAGTACAACAAAAGTGCAGATTTAATTGTTTTCAAGACAAAAATGAAAATGAAAAGAAGCTGTGGTATGAGGGGAAAAGAACATCTCAAAATGAAAATGATTTGATAGTTTTAAATGTTAAAACAACATTCCTGAGGTAATTAAATGTCATTAATCTACACCAAAAAGTGGAAAACAGGCTTCAAATGCTTTAAACTAAAATCTGATGATCTGTAATAACTCCTCCATACTTAAAGTTTCAAGCGTAATAATAGCAGCACTCACACTCACAGTTTTGGATTTTTAACAAACTCCCTTCAGGGTTTGAAATCTGCTCTTTCAGTTGTACATACCAGGATTTCTGACTGTCTCTGACAACTTACCGTGCTCAACTGGTTTTGTGCTTCAGTTAAATATAAGTAGTCAACCAAAGTGTTGAGTGAATTAGTTTTTATTAGTCACGCCATATGTAGACATAATGTCAAACAATACAGAAGTTTAATTTAAATGAAGCAGGTTGAAAAAAGTGGTATAGCAACAGAGAGGGTAGAAAAAGTCTAATGTTCAAATCCTACACAGTGGCTTTAATATTATTGTACATAGCAACAGAGAGACTCCTTGGGTTAACAGGTGTAGTTTCCATTTATATTCTTATAATGAACAATTATTAGAGAAAATAGGAACTGTGGGAAATTGAGCATATTATAAGCAAACAGCAGGAAACAGATGTTATAGCCATAAATTAATATTTAACAGTTGCATTATATGAGGGGCATAAATCATATAGTGGTGTGCTTTGTAACTTTTGGTGATTTCATTTAGTAAAAGGTTAACACCACAAAATACATATGTGCTCAGCTTGTGGGAAGGGAATACATAAAGCATAAAGAGAGGAATATATTAGTGCTAGCCAGCTAGCTGTTTCTTCCTAATATCCCAGTTATATTTATGGCAGCTCTTAGGGTGTCTGCCATAGTGACTAAATGGTTGTGGATGCTTTATAAGTGACAACATCATATATATTGTGATGATGATAGTTAGTTTTAAACTTTATCAATCCGAACACTAGAAATTTGTTAACACTGGTGAATGTATAAAGCTGCAGAATGAAATTTAATTAATGTAATGTTATATCTTGACTAGCTCAGGAACACTAAAGCCTTTATTTAGACTGACTTATTATGGATGTGACACTGACTGTTACCTTTGTCCATGACTAACCATAAAGCCACAGTTCTCAGACTCAGGGGCTTCCCCTGGGGGAGAACAATTGGTGCACATGACCAGCGGTGAAAAGAGCTGAGGTTCAATGAATTTAATTCATATGGAAATGACATAACAGTTTGCACTCAGCTAGGCTGCCAAGATTTAAGTTGTCGCAATTTATTCAGAGAGCAAAAAGATGTAGGAAGTATAGGATGGACAGATTTTGACAGCGAGGCTGAAGTGAGTGGTCAGGTGTATTGTACTAATTCAAAATTATGATGTGACCTTTACTTGCACAATATTTGCATGAACAAAAAGAAACAAGCACTTGGAACAACTTTAGAAACAGACAGTAGCACAAGAGATCACAGGTAAGGTACAGTACAGTAAATCTATTCAGGTTGACCCACCAGTACACACAGAGTTGATTGTATGGATGGAAGTGCAGTGCAGTGTCTGATTAGAAATATGATTGTGACAGTGATGAAACACCGTGCCTCAGACAGAGAAATCACCTAATACCTCTGAAAATCCAGAAATACATATAAAACACAGCCTACGTTCACATGTGAAAGTACAGATACATCTCATAATCCAGCACTCTTTCTCCTTTTTTGAACATAAAGGAACATACCAGTAATTTTGCATTTTTATCCTATTCACTATAAATCATGAATACTTAATATCATTGCTGGCTATTTTGCAAACTATCTTAGTGTTTCAGATTTTAATGTATTTTTCCTGACGTCAAAGCAGCCAATGTTTTCTATGAATTATTATCTCCTGGTATTAAAATAATCAAATGGCAGAATCTTAAAATGTTCTTGAGTTGCTTGATGCATCATACTGAACATCAGGTTTGTATCCAACTGTATTTTCAAAATTATGTAATAGTTGTGAAGTAGCACAGTATGGCATTTTATACGTGTATAAAAGAGTAGACTTGATGCCTACTGTGATTATACAATTCAAGTTTCAATAGTATGAGGTGGAAACTAATGGCTGCCTGAAAAGTACCAAAAACACAAACACAAAATCTGAACCTGTACAGTGAACATATACAAATAGTCACCAGCTGTATTAAATATACATGATTTGTAAGGAGCTAAAAACACTGGTATATTCATTTAAGCGTTTGGTAGGTGGGTTATCAGCTCAAATTTCTAGTTTCTTTTTCATGATAAGCTTGTACAGGATCTGGTAGCCATCATCCCAGGCATAGAGCAGCTGCTCCTGTGGGTTGTACTTCAGACTGGAGTGAGCTCCGTAGCGTTTCGGAAAGTAAACCAGTGGCGCATCTTCGTTGGTCACCATGTCATTGACATCAAACACGCACTGCACACGTGAGCGGCCGGGCTGCTTGGTGTTGTACACCACATACAGAGTGCCACAGATGACGAAGGCCGCCTCTGCGTTCTCTCTTGGACAGTTCGTGTCCCACATCTGCTCGATGTCCAGCGAGTTGGCGTCCATTTTAGCCAGAGAGATGTGCCTGTTCTGCCGTGTGGCGTAAATGGCCCACAGGCCTTCCTCGTCCACAGCCAGGTCCATCACTGTCTCAGGGGTCAGGCCGTACACTGGGACATGGTCCTGGACAGGAAACACTGCGCTGTCTGTCACAGAGTTATTCTTCATGTCATATTTAACCACCATTACTTCTTCAGCCTGATTTATATAATACGCGTGATTGTTGTAGACGACGTGTCCTGTTCCCTTCCAGGCCGTCGGCAGCTTCAGGGTCTTGGACTGAGACATGCCCAGTGAGCGGGTGAAGTCTTGCACTGAGGAAAACTCGTGGATGGTGTCGTCATCAGTCCCATTAAAGATGTAGACCTTCCCCGAGCCCCTGCTGGTGTCTTTGCTCCACATGCCCTTTGGCCCTCCAACTCGCTTCAAGATCTTCATGGCTTTTATACTGGAGATCATGTCGCTGCAGTCTGAATATAAGACAGTGAGAGGCCTTATGTGATGGGTGACTCGTTAACAGTGTTTACATTATGTTGTCATTTAAATCTATCAGAACTGTATTTAAAGGGATAGTTCAGCTTTGTTGTCAAGAGAACTGGCTCACCAAAGGAGTGACTATGAATGGAAATTTAAGGCAATGAATGCACTTTATTATCTCACTTTGTGCCTTCTTGATCAGTCGATATATGGGACCTTTAACGACAGCAGAACGTGAGATTTCTGTGTCTTTTATTATTATAAAGCAGGTCTAGGCGTTATATAAACACTGTGAAAGTATCAAAGTGCTCTGTGCCCATATTCAGAAACTGTGCCTTAAAACGAGCCATCAGGACTTCTGTAATTTTGTGATGTCACAACTATACAGTCACCACCCTCAGCCACACTCACAGCACAGCACACCTGGACCCGCCATCTAACCTACCTTTTGTGTTTTAACTTTACTAACAACACAACAGCAAGTGGTCATTCCATCACTGAGCTATAGCAAGCTACAACACAGGAAAATGCTGAGGCCGTCTTTTTGCCTCATTTCAGAACAGACTGACCATTTGCATTCACCAGTGAGTTGTACCAAGCTACAGTAGTAGGCTACAATCCATAATCTCTGGTTGGCCTGGACCGTAAGTCACTTAGAAAACAGTCAGCCAATCAGAAGAGAGGGTCTGAGATAAACACAATGCAGTGTTTATTCTGATACACTGGTCTTCTTGCTGTAAGTTTAAGAACATCATATCTCACCTGAGAGTTTTGAATATTTGGTTCTCTGTTTCTCCTTCACCAGAGTCACCTGCTGCTCTATCAGCTTGTCGTCCACATCCACACACGGCTGAGCCCCGTTCTGAGTCTCCAGGTAGTCAAGTTCACGCTCAACTCGGTCCACCCTCGTCCCCACACCATCCAGATTCATCCTCAGTGCCTCTTTCTCTTTGTCCAGGTTCTCCAGCTGAGATACCATTTGTTGCTTCAGCTCCCGCAGCTCTGAGGCGTAACGGGTGGTCTGTTCGTGCCATAGAGAGATCCGGTCCTGTTTTTAAAAAAGGTGATTAGTTATATCTGAATATAAACACAAGCAGAAGTGGTCAGACTCCATCTTAGATTTTCAACAGTGGGAATGATACATGGATATTCGTTTTACGAGAACTATAAATATATTCCTGGAAAGCATGGAAAAGGCCATAATTTTATGTTCCTTTCATGCTCAGTGAATAGACTGGAACAGAGGGGCATAATCAGTAGGAAACTCATCCTTCAAACAACCAGGTTCAAACTACACGTGGCAAGTATCCACCCTGCTCAAATGTCTTTTAGCAAAACACTGAATCCTATCGGCACTCTCTGTGGGTGCTGCTTTGTAGCAGACCCTGACCTCTGACCTCACTGTGGAGGAAATTAGATTTTCTCTACAGGTGATCAGTGAAGTCTGGCACCACTTTACAGAACAATGAAGAGACTAAGTGATGTGAATGTTTGAGGGAGTTTATCGTAAGCAACTGTGTTTGAAGGACTTTAGATCTAATATGGAAGAGAGAAGAGCATTACTTACACATGAGCAGAACTGAAATAGCATTACTGAATGGCAAGTTATTACTGGTAAGTTTGCATTAGTCTGTACAATACAATACATGAGATACATTTTCATCCATGACAGAAAATTAGTTTATACACAGGCAGGAAGTTTCCTGAGAGATGTTTGATTTTCCATGTGTTGTTGGTAAAAATTAAATTAAAATTAGAATTATTACCTTTACTTGATCATCATGACAAAAGTAACTTTGTGACAAAAAATTAGTACAAGTCTTGTAAACAAACATGTCTACTGTCATATAATAAACTATAAACTATATTTTTTAAAATGGCATTTTGACATTACAGTTGTCTGACATGCATACAGACCGTTTAAGGTGCATTTTTTTTAACTCAGTGGTATAACCCAGACAAGACAAGAACCTCATAATCCCTAGGAGAGACGTATTTTCCAGCATTTTCCCCAGTATTTGCCCACATCTGCATTCCATTGCCATTGCCCTGTCCCTGGAAGTTTCCTTTCAGAGGGACTCTGGAGCTCAGGGCTCGGCAGGGAGGTAAAGGGAGTCTTACCTCAATAGCAAGCAACCTCCGCTCCAAATAGTCAATCAGTGCTTGGTGCTGAGCGGTGGCAAAGCAGGCCAAAGTAACCAAGACAACAAGTCCTCTCATTTTGTATCAGCTCGGTCTCTTTAGCTCCTGTAAAATCTTGACTGGAGTTCAGTGGGAGTGTGTGGAGAGCCAGCCGAATCCCAGAGGTGGGCTGGAATGTTTTACCAAGCTGCCGGGGAGGAGCCAAAAACATCTGGTGCAGATGGAAGCTCACAGAGTCTAACAGAGACAAGATAGTCCATCTCATTTTTGCCTCACTTTTTACCTGGTTGACGAATTGAAAAGCCAAACAAATGTATTGTCTTCAGTGTATGGTTGTATTCAGGGTGTTGGAACCTTTATTTCTTCAAAACACAGGACACTAATGTGGCACAGATCCACAAGTTACGTAGGAAGAGGAAGCGAAATGTGAGTAGGAGTCAGGAGTGAGTGAAGCACTGTACTGCTCTGTATGGAGAGGAAGATATTATGGGTTGTGGATACTAATCAGAATGAAAGATAGGCCATATTCTAAACTCTCCCACAAAGCTAGACTATAGTATAGAATATTTCTCTGCAGCACAGTAGGATAGATTATCACTGCACATACAGTCTTGTGCAAAAGCTCGAGGCACCTAAGTTGTTTAGCTTATCATCCATCACGCAATACTATCAGGGGGATGTCCTGCAACAGATGGTCTGCCCCCCACAGAGCCCTGCTCTCAACATCATGGAGTCAGTCTGGAATTAATGACAATGAGACAGCCCTGTCTCCACAGAAATCCACAGAAAAACAACACTGGACAGATAAATAAACACTATTCATGGCATTATTTTTGTAAGCATCCTCACATTAAATATATCTTAAAACAATACTCACAGACCCACATGTACACTACAGACTCACTGGTTGACATAATCCCTCTTCCTGTCCATACTGGCTGTAAAAAGGATCCTGTCCACAACTCCAGTGTAAGTGATGGGGTACAGAATTCACAGTCCCCACAAAAATGTATTCTGAAATTAACCAAAGCTAAGACGAGGCTTCAGCAGTCCGTTACACAAATCAAGTGGCTATCGTCAAAAGTTACCATCCTTTTAGAACATAATTCCTTCTTCATGGACTAATCCCTCCACCCCGGCTTAGCAAAGAATCAAAGAGTGATTTTCGCACTAAAAAGACTAACTTCAGGAAAACTGTGCAAAATCTGTAACTGCTGAGGACACGTATTAGCTTCAGTCAAAATTTAAAATACATTTTTTGCATTTTATCCCCCATCTCTTACAGTGAAGTTGCAGTAAGAAGGGGATCTCTTCAGGAGAGGAGAAATAATTACAGTTACCAGTAATTCTGACACTGTGCATCTGGACCTGTGAGTATTAAGACAGACTTAAAAAATGTAAAACTATCCTCAACAGTTTTACCAGATGTATCTCTTGGATATTGTCCTGAGCTGTAATGGAATAGGAAAAAAGTGCCGTATCTTTGTAGGTTTTAAGTCTTCAAATGCGCCATATTACTAGTATGAAGAGAAGAGGTGAAAAATTGTTGCAGATGAATCCAGATGTTCAGCAACATTCATTAATTTTTTTTTTCCCTTTGGATTAGAGCCATCTTGAAAATCCATTTGATGTCGCAAGCTCTGAGCAGTCATGTCAACCTAAAGTGTGGTCAAAAGTCATATTTCATGCTGGAAAAAATGTTAACTGCAAAACAGTGTGTGAAAAGTAAATGCAAGATTTTCCTTTCTCGAAATAGATTCATCAAGTGTTTAGTCATATTGCCAGTCTGTCTGCCATGTTTTCCAGCTGTTCCATGTGCACAGGAACAGTTGTAATAGCAGTGGTGATGTCTATAGCATAACAAAAACAGTAGTTAGTTTGGTGAATGGTGAATTACTGGGGAAATAGGAAATGCTGTCTAAACTGTCTCTGGTCTCCCCTGTAATTTATAAGACCACCTTGCTATACAAAAGCTACATGACATCACTGAACACCTCTTTAAAACTCAACTCAAGCACAGAATAATGACTGTGTATTGTGTTTGTTTGGTTTTGATCCTGCTATGATTCATAATTTTCTAATTTTCTTCTTGTCTTTTGAGTGTTATTTTTGATTTAACCACAGAGACACAGACAAAGTTGTGGAAGAAAGCATTTTTTTTAATATATTTAATGAGACTGAGAAGGAAAAGGTTTGATCACATATTTTGTTGTCTGACTAGTGCAGTCTGTCATTCATACGCTCTCTTTTATGATTTTATGTAAAATGCACCCTGGGCACCAGGAGTAGTAAATGAATTTTGCAAATCAAACCAGTGTTATTTTCATTCTGTATGAACAGTGCTTTGCATTTTCATATTTGCAGCATCACTGCAGTGTGCCTATCTGCACACGGTACATTGGCACTGTTACTACTGACAGCATGGTGGCTTTTACCCTCTTAATATCGATCATACACACAAATTACACCCTCAGTGCTTCTGTTGCTACTTGATGCTGCAACAACTGAGTCTATTGTACTGTTGCTTATTTGCAATATGATCACTCTAATGCATGGCAGTGCAAGGTGAGTTTATGACTTCTCTCCATCCCAATTTGTATCATTATTGGTTGAGGTTTGTTTGTATAAGGATGTGATTATTTGAATATGAGTCTTTTTTTATTATTCATTTACTTACTTAAAACATATCATAACAATAATACAGTTGAAGTAATAAAACACTAAACCAAACAGGGTATACATGTAGTTATAACAACCTACACAGCTAGAAGTAAAAACAGGATAAGATGATCATTACATGACAAGGTGAAAAGTTGGTTATGTTAGCAAACCAGTGTTTTTAGTAGTAGTAACTCTGTGTTAGATAATAACAGATAGGGTTCTGCAAATTCACCATTAAAATCTGTCTTGTGATTTATCATATTTGTATGATGTGAAGTAATTCACAGAGAATTAGATATCATGTAATTCACCTACAGTGGTAAAATGAAATTGTATGTGTTCATTCACCACATAAATCATGACACATGACTCTCAGCCCATTTCAGTAATATACAGCATCAGTATCAATATCAGTGATTGTGTGTTTGGTATTACACTAATAACAGGAGAGTGTGCGATGTGTTTGTGGTGGAAAAGGATGGAGCCGTCGAATTCACAATGGACAGTTTTAAAAAAGGATCAAAACTACAGATACCATCTTTTTTTACATGCATTTTCACACATTCCTCTTCCTTGTCCTGGTGTCTACCTGGAAGCTACATTAACCACAATGCAAATTGCCCACTGATGATTCAGTGGAAGATTCAGGTGTGTTATGCTAGCAGCAGCTAATGTAGCTTCTGCCACAAGCCTCAAGTACAGATGTCTAGTAAGCTCACTTCTTCCCAACTCCACACCCACAGATTTTCAAACTTGTAGTCATCCAAAACACAACTAGCGCTGACTCAAGTGACATCACTCGAGGCAATTAATCAGCCTTCCTGCAGCTTTTTATGGAGCCTCGACCACCTTTAATTAACTCCCCTAGACCTGTAAACAGACTTTAATGTGTACAATGTGGCTCCCCTTTAAAATAAATTAATGTAATATTTAATCTTTAATTGATGAAAGCCCGCTCTCCCGTGCCTCCACAGTAAAGACACAAGCAGGCCTAACACCCTTTGCTCCACACCCATGTATGTGTGTGTATGATTGTGTAATACTTATCAACATCATTATCATATTCATTGAATCCACAGTGGATATATAAAGTATGTTATAATACTAAAAAATAATGCTATAACTAATGCTTTAATTATGAATAACTATTACTGCTAATAATGATAATAATATAAACAAATCACAATGATTATCTTCATCACTTATCAGTTACTATAATTATTCATGTGATTTGATATACTTTTTTTTTGCGGATGCTCATTAATACTTGTGTCAATGTTTATAGTCTGTCTACCTGTAGCTGTGCATATATCCATATATGGTGCCGACGTGGTGGTATAGGGCAGAGTGGGCTCAGAAAGGGCTGGACATGATGGTGATGATCAGTGTGACTGTGTGTGCATTTGAATATGAGTCAAAGCTTTTTTTTCAGCACATTTGCCTACAGGATTGTGAGTCGTCCTCAGTGATTGGGCAGAACGCCGTGAAAGATCCTGAAACATGCAAACACAGGCAAATATGGGGCACTGAGGGGAAGAGGATTGAGGGCCTTTTGTTATCAGATGGGAAATCAGCTGTTGGAGGATCATATAAGCTTTATAAGCAGCCCCTTCAAACAGGAATATCAGGTATGTACTATTTGATAATATAGAAATGATTTCATTTGATTGTATAGGCTCTCTGTAGGTTTCCAGTTCAGTTGGATATAAAACTAATCTTGTACAGTTTATCGCGAAAAAAGACACTAAAGCTAGAATCTATAGTTTATAGATAATATAAACATTTGTGCTGTGGTGTGCTTTACGATAAGGAGACTATGTTCAATGCACAAGAAATCGTTTTGCATTTGTATTAGGATCATTGTATTAGTATTTCCTCTTCCAGAGAAAGACAAACAAAGAACAAAAGTGTTCAAGTGAAGCTGAATTCATCCAAGCAACATGGAGTACACGTTCAGAGCCGTAACTCACAGCCCTGGGATTATAATCTGGAGAATCGAGGTAATGTGATTTTAGTTGCTGCAATAATGTGGACTGAAGTTTTACGAAAATCAAAAGAAGAATTATTGGGCAGCAGTGACTGAACATCTCTAGCTATTAGATTTGAAATGCAGCTTTTTTCTTCTTCTTCTTCTTCTCTCTGCATAACAGAAAATGGAGCTGGTGCAAGTCCCTGAGAAATCTCATGGAAACTTTTATGAGGGTGACTGCTACGTACTTCTATTTGTAAGTCTGAGAAGGTGACTGATGAATCATTGTGGCTCTGTGTGCCAGGGCTCCAGGATTGTCTAGTAAAGCCTACTGCTGTGTTTGTAGACTTTGCTCTTTAGGCATATAGTGTGTTTTGAATAATGAAGCTGTGACAAAATGCGCTTGTATTTATACTTTTATTTCACATCAGATAGCATCCTCATCTATACACCACCCCACACTGACTGTTTCTCCACTGTTGTTTATCCAGACGCAGAAGTTCAGCAGCTCTCTGTCTTATGATATTCACTACTGGATCGGCTCACAGTCCTCTCAGGATGAACAGGGGGCGGCTGCTGTTTACACCATACAACTTGATGAATTTTTGGGCTCAACTCCGGTCCAGCATCGTGAGGTTCAGAACCACGAGTCAGGTGCCTTCAGGGGATACTTCAAACAAGGAATAATGTGAGTGAAAGTGTTGACACAGTAGGCCATCATTTATAGACAGTGAAAGAAACAAGAATATATATTCATCCTGTCTTTTTTTTATAGCTATAAGAAAGGAGGAGTTGCATCAGGTATGAGACACACTGAAACCAACACCTATGATGTCAAGAGGCTGCTTCATGTCAAAGGGAAGAAAAGAGTGATTGCCAAGGAGGTGAGCCATGCTGCACAGTGGTTATGTAACGTAATGAAAGTCAGGAAGCCGTGTAGAAAGAGTGCTTTGTATTTTAATTTGTTTCAGGTGGAGATGAGCTGGAAGAGCTTCAACCTTGGAGATGTGTTTTTGTTGGACATCGGGAAGACTATTGTTCAGTGGAACGGGCCAAAGAGTAACAAACAGGAAAAGCTTAAAGTAAGATTTTTGTGACTTGCATTGGTGCCTGTGTATGTTGTTGGGTGCAAAATTAATTTGTTGTTTTGTTTTTGTTGCTTGCGATTTGAATTGTCTGGGAAGATGTTCCATGATCATGATTTTTTTCATCAGCATGATCTCCCCAAGTCAGTGCTTGGACCCTGGTGTATCTGCACAAAAAAAACTATTTGCAATCCAACTTTCTCTAAAGACACAACATTATTTACATGGTACACATTGTAGGTAGACCTTGAAATAGGTCTGACTGTAAGTTCTTTCAGTGCTGACACCAGATTGAAATATCGTATCATATAACTTTTTGGGAACCTGTGAGCTTCTGATTTCCTTCTTCCTTCTAACAGGCTCTGAATTGTTCACTCTCCCACAAACACTTCAAAACCATATAATAGTAATGCAGTAAGTGCATCACTTTTAGATCCTGGATATTCACGTTCTAAGCATTTACACACATTTTAGTTAATTAAGTCACATTCAGCTGTTAACTAGCTTACAGTTTGCATGTCCTATAATAATACAGGATTTCTGGTTTCACTTGTTGTTACTCGCCAGAACTGTACTGTAAAAAGTCAAAGGGCACTGGGTCACATCTGGGTGCTCCACCTGTCCCTTGTAGCCTGGATGTTGTCCAGAGTCCTGTCGAGGTTGGTACTTACTCTACTCTATGTCACAAACATGAGGCTCTGGAAGCTGCCAGGACATTGTATCTTTTTTCTCACTGCTAGACACTTATTAGACTTTCTTAGAGGGTGATTTGTGACACAGTACAACAGAACCGTACTGTAAACTAAAGTGAAATCCATCAGCACTTCTATGGTTATTTTAACAGTTTGTATACCTTTGGTAAGCTAAGTAAAGAGATAAATCAAACAGTGTTATTGCTGAGTAGTTCCTCATTACTTCATCATCATATTACAATAAGTTCCTTAACAACAAACCACAGACAGCAGGTTTCAAAGCAAGTATTCTAATCATAATATTCAGGCCACATATAGATTAATATTCACATCTGTGTTATTTTGATTCATTGTTTGGAAACCTGCTGTTTCTGATTTGTTGTTAAGGAACTTATTGTAATATGGTTAATCAATGAACGCTTAACAACGCTATTTGATGTGTCACTTTATGTAGTAAAGCTATACAAACTGTAAAAACAATGGACCATCATTTATGGTTCGGTGCTGTTGTACTGTGTTGCAAATTAGCCTCTAAGAAATGATAACAAGTGTCTAATAAGTGGGAAATAAAGATGCAGCTTAATGTTTGTGGACGGGCGTACCGGAGTTGAGTAAGTATCACAACCTCCACGGGACTCTTGACAACATCCAGACTGCAAAGAACGAGCGGATCACCTAGATGTTAGTTTAAGGTTTTCTTCCAATGAGCAGCAAATGACCCAGTAAGAGAGTGGGACTATGTTAAATTGTTTGATCCTAAGTATATTTACTGTCTAATAAAGATCACATCATTTCCAGTTTTGTCTAAGTTGATACAAAGTCTTGTTGCATCTTATTAGTGTACGGGAAAATGAAGTGTGACCAGATTTCTAACAATCCAGCGCAGAAAGTCTGAAATGAAAAGCAGAAAACACTGGTATTTGTACAACAACTGACCATTTCAGTCTTTTAGCTCTTTTCCTACAGTAGATATGTGCCTGTGTAAAGTTACTGAATGAGTTAAAACCACAGCTTGTGGCAACATATTTTAGTACACTGGACACAACATGACATTGGCACATTGTTAATACTTCACTTTTGAAATAGACTGTGAAATTTGTCCTAAGATTATAGGTGAAGTCTGGATTGTGTTGTACTGTACCTCTGCTTCTCAGGGCATGTTGTTGGCCAAAGACATCCGAGACAGAGAGAGAGGCGGTCGGGCAGAGATCAGAGTGGTCGAGGGTGAGGCAGAGAGCAACTCTCTTCACAGCATGGGGATCCTGAATGATGTTCTTGGTGAAAGAACCTTCACGCTGACAGACGGATCTCCTGATGAAACCGTTGACCTGGAACAGAAGTCAAAGCTCACACTTTACCAGTGAGCTGCTCCCTGATCTGTGTTATCCTAAATGTCTCATGTAGTCTGCGGGTGAGGATCCATCCATATTCAGTTAAAGTGTTGTTTATCTTTATTTCTTTCTGCCTTTATGTCAGCGTGTCAGATGCTGATGGCAAGATGAAGGTCACAGAAGTTGCTACCAGACCACTGGTTCAGGATCTGCTCAACCATGATGTGAGTTGGTGCAATACTGACTAAATGTAGGATGCATATAATTTACATTATGGGCACAACTAATCAGAGTGCCACTATAAAACTTGATCCATCTAGTTTGACCATTTCACTTTTCCTATACAAGCTAAAGGCTTTACATTCTTGACACTGCAGGGTGAAGATAAAATATTTTATTAACTGATGTATGAAATAAGTTGGTTTTGTATACTTAGTGTAATTATCATTTTAGGACTGCTACTTCCTGGACCAGGGAGGGACGAAGATCTATGTATGGAAGGGGAAGAAAGCAAACAAAGCTGAGAGACAGGCTGCTATGGGCAGAGCTTTGGTAAGTGACACTACATCATTAGCTTGTGTTTGATTGATCTGGCATGACGTATTTATTTTCTTGTGTTGAATTCCACTGTTATAGGAATTCATCAAAGCAAAAAACTACCCCATCACTACCAATGTGGAGACGGTGAATGACGGGGCGGAGTCAGCTCTTTTCAAGCAGCTGTTCCAGAGGTGGACAGTAAAGGACCAGACTCAAGGAATGGGCAAAAAGCACACAAGAGGGAAAGTGGGTACGTGCCTTTGTTTGTAAATCCACAGAAACACAACAAGCAAGAAATAACAAGCACATTTTTCTTTGAATAAAAACTTTGTTGGTTGTTGGTTTATGATTTATTGTTGTCTGCTTTAGCTCACATCACACAGGAGAAATTTGATGCCACTCTGATGCACACGATGCCAGAAGTTGCTGCACAGGAGCGAATGGTGGACAATGGCACAGGTCAAGTGGAGGTATTTGTGACTACTCTGAATTTAATTTTAGTCACACTGTATCAGGTTTGTCCGTCCATCAGTCTGTCAGTCCAATATTTTGGTACAGAATCAAATATCCTGACATTTCGAGTATGAATCACTCGCGTCCATCATCTATCAATCAGTTCATGATTGATACCTCAAAAACTGACTGAACAGCTGGAGGCCAGCTACTTTGAGATTAATGCAAACACAGCATGCTACTATAATGTCAGCATGCTAACATGTTAAACACGAGAACGTGACACTGACATGCTAAATGTGATCATTGTACCACAGTAGCTGCTGCATGTTCACACTAAGTGTTGGTGGAAGGCTATATGTCAAACATTCAGTAGTTGTTAGGATGCCTGTCAACATGCTAACTGCAGACATGTTACCATGCTAATGTCAGCAAGTTAGTACATTACATTAGCATTCAGGCCAAAGTGCAGCTAAGCAGGCTAAAGTAAGCAGGAAAGCTAGGTGCAGTTGAGACAAAGGCTGCGTCCGAAGTCACTCACTACTCCCTATATAGTCCCTTCTGTAGTGCTGCCCGAATGTGTAGTGAAAATCATTACACCCTATATAGTGGACTCAGCTGAGACAAATATTTTTTCATCCTGTTATCCCGTTATGGGAAATAATAGAGCTTTGTTTCCTCGAGATAATGGGATGATTATCTGGAGAGAACAAAGCTTCATTATCTCGAGATAACGGGATGGAAAAATATTTGTGTACATCTCTGTACATAGTATCCCACAATGCATCATAGAAAGTAGTGTACAAACAATGGGTATTAATCTGGCCCTACTGACAAAATACAGCATAGTTCAATGAAAACTGAGCCAAGTTTGACAGTGTAGAGCTGACCAGCACAAAATGAATGTTTTGCTTTGTTTTTTACAAGTAGTCCAGAACAGCAAGGTTAGCTCATTTTTTCATGCATCCAACATTTTTCTTTTTTTTCCGGGGTGTAATGTTACAGCCTCTTGGGGCCACTAGTGTAGCTACAAACTTTGCACAACTCTGACACACATCGGAGAGAAACATGCTGCTGATGAGGTTTGTTTGAAACTTTCAGCGCTTCAGGCCTCGTGTCTATCTACTTCACAGGAAAGACAACTGCTCAGACACCACTGGACCTCAGCCATTGCTGTGCAGCAACACTTTCTCTGCCATTTGTGTTTCAGAGTTAATTTACCTTTTTGATGTACCGCAGGTGTGGAGGATTGAGGATCTGGAGCTTGTGCCCGTGGACCCTCAATGGCACGGATACTTCTATGGAGGAGACTGCTACTTGATCCTCTACACTTACTTGGTTAACAACAAGCAGTGTTACCTGCTCTACATATGGCAGGTGAGGATGTATAAATTAAGTTTCTTACAAAGTGGCTCACAAACAAAATGTCCTCCACATTCCCTGCTTTGGATTTTTCTGATTGTCACTTATATTATAATTATTTTAGGGGCGTCATGCAACACAGGATGAACTGGCAGCCTCGGCATTTCAGGCCGTGGACTTGGATCAGAAGTACGGTGGTGAGCCAGTCCAAGTGAGAATAACCATGGGCAAAGAACCAAGACACTTTATGGCGATTTTCAAGGGTAAAATGGTCATCTTTGAGGTATGACTGTTGACCACATTTACAGTCATTTCTTTGGAATCATTGTGTTTGTTAAGTTTTTTATTTACAGGCTTGTAAATTGTTTTAGAGTTTTTATAACAGTGAAGAATATGTCCTCTCTTGTTTTGAAGGGGGGCACGTCTAGAAAAGGATCTTCTGACCCAGAGCCTCCGATAAGATTGTTCCAGGTCCACGGCTCCGACCCATCCAACACAAAAGCCATTGAGGCTCCGGCGCTGGCCACGTCTCTGAACTCCAATGATGTGTTTTTACTAAAGAGCCAATCAGGAATTTATCTGTGGTACGGAAAGGTAAGATGGAGTTAAGATAAGAAAGAATTACAATATGACACAATTCTTTTGTGGTATTTATCTTGTAATACTGTATCAGTGAATCAGCAATTAAATTAAACTAAAACAGAAATATACTATATGGCCATTAGTATGCGGATACCCAAATTCAGATAGATCTTTTTGCTGTTGTCTAGGGCTGTTTTTCATGATTTGGAAGAGGCTTTGGGGAATGATCATGATTATTCCCCTCTGCACAAAGTCAGATCAATAAAGAATTCTCCATAATGTCTCCATAATTTGTTGGGTGTCCACAAACTTTTGTCTATACAATTGTAAGTATTTATGCCGGAAAAGTGTAAACATGTTCTCACCCTGTTAATGTAAACTGTTTTGATTTGTATTTGATCAGATGAGATCATTATGTCAAACTTTCAACACTGTTATTTTTTAAAAGATGAAGTTATTGATAAGGTGTAACTGATTATTTTTTTTACAAGGGATCAAATGGAGATGAGAGGGCCATGGCGAAGGAGGCCAGCTCTGTGATTGGCCAAAATGGATCAGAGGAGATTGTGGCAGAGGGTCAGGAGTCCACTGAATTCTGGGAGTTGCTTGGAGGCAAAGCTCCATATGCTAGTGGCAAGAGGTAATGATTATAATACTAATGCTAATGTAGGAAAACCAGGTTCAAGTGCATTACTCTTATAGTGGGCACAATGAAGAGGAAACACATTTGTTCTATATGTTTCGTCATGTGTTGTCGTCCACAGACTTCAGCAGATGGTTTTAGACCACGAGCCACGTCTGTTTGAGTGCTCCAACAAGACAGGTCGATTCATCGTGACCGAGGTGGTTCAGTTCACACAGGACGACCTCAGTGAGGAGGATGTCATGTTACTGGACACGTGGGATCAGGTATGAGGTGACACTGTTTGTGACAACTACTCACAAACTTTGAAATTGTCTTTTCTTTTTTTTTTTTATCAACTCCGAGTTTTCCTGTAAATCTTTTTTTTCCCCTAACTCTGTCATCTCTTCAGGTGTTTCTCTGGATTGGTAAAGAGGCCAATGAGGTTGAGCGCAAAGAAGCAGTGGTTATAAGCCAAGAGTACCTGTACACCCACCCAGGCGACAGAGATCAAGACACCCCCATCGTCATGGTGAAGCAAGGGTTCGAGCCACCCACCTTCACTGGGTGGTTCACAGCCTGGGATCCGTCCATATGGAGTGTGAGTGTTTTGTTTTTTGAATGAAATAGGGCATCGACATGCACATTGACGAGAAAAACACATACGCTAACAAACATGTCTTTCTCTTAGGGAGGAAAGAGCTATGAGGAGTTGAGGAAGGAGTTTGGAGATGCAGCATCAACTGTTAACGTCACAACTGTATGTGTTCATCTCTCAAGCTTTTTAACACACAGAAACTGTTGCTTTCTTCATGGTGTGCTGTGAAATTTGAATTTTTGTTTACATTAGATACCAAAATCTTACCATTCTTCTTCATAGCAATGGTTTGGGTAAAGAGGTTATATGATTGTAAACTAAGCAAAGGGTCGTTTAAGGTGTTCTTGTGTTGTAAGCTTTGCTTCCAGTCTTACCTCAGGCATAACTAGCATTACCGGCTGGTTAGTAATTCCTACTTTTGTTTGACTTTGTTCAAAGCTAGTTTCTGCTACACAACCTTTATAACATCCAGGGACAGGAATCAAAAAAGGGGCAAAAATCTACAAAAAACTGTAACTGGAGTTGTCATTTCAGTGTCACAAGAGTAAGAGATAAATTGATGAAGATATAGTTTAACAATCTTTGTTCCTTTAATGTGAATCTCCAGGAGCAGAACTCTGCTGAAAGGGAGAAATACTTTCAGCCCTTTCCACCTGAAACTCTGGTCAACAAGCTCGCCAGTGAGCTGCCTGAAGGTGTTGACCCAACCCAGAAAGAGGTTGGTGTGTGTGTGTGTGTGTGTGTGTGTGTGTGTGTGTGTGTGTGTGTGTGTGTGTGTGTGTGTGTGTGTGTGTGTGTAGGAATTTCCTTAAGAGAAAACCTCAATTAACACCTACGAAAAGATTAGTTCATTATCGATTTATTCTTAAAAACTTTATTTCCATATGTGCTGAATTGTAATCTGTCTGTAGACACATTTCACATTTTCATGTAGCTCAACTGCTGTCTCTATTTTTCCTACAATTAGTACAAAATCTTTATTTCTAGAAGCCTCCCAGGAAATATTCAAAACTGCAGGTCCACAAAAAAAAAAATCTTTACCATTCATTTTCTCTAAAGTCTTGAAGTTATTATCAGTATCTGCCATGTGTGATTCAGTAATTATATTTTCATGAACTCCTTGATACTTTGTGGAGTTGTTTTTCAAACTTGTTATACAGTATTTTGTGAACTGCCTTTCAGAAACACCTCAGTGACTCCGACTTCAGCAACACATTTGGGATCACCAAAGATGAGTTTGCGCGCCTGCCACAGTGGAAACAGCTTAAAATGAAGAAAGAAAAAGGGATGTTTTGATATTTTTATTATTTCTTAAAGCCATCTTGAAGTCTCTCTTTGTGTTCTCTCCCCTTATTGACTTTCCACTTTCCAACTGAATCTCTTTGTTAACCTATTTGAGGGCAGGACTCAATTTCTCTTCATGCCCTGCAGATACTGTGATCCACATATTTGTCTCAAATCACTGTAGTACAAGTCTATACTTTGTAATTTTTTAACCTGATGTTATACAAGGACACTCGTAGCTATTGTAATAATATTATTCGTAATCTCAATACGAAAAAAATAAAAAAAAAACTGTATTGCTTATTCTTCTGTGTGTGTGGATAATAACCAGAACATTCAACTTTTTAATAATGCATTTTATCCAACCCAGCACAGTAACAAATATTTACTTTACAGAGGCTGTACTTTTATAAACCTTGAGCTGAGTCATAAACAGCAACTCAAATGTCCACGACTCTGATTTCCCTTTTAAGTAAACGTCTACTTTGCCATCTGTTGGCCAAATGATATTACAGCATGTGAGGTTAAATAAAAATACTTATGTTTAAACCCCAAAGTTCCTTCACTTACCTGCAAGAGAGAGAGCGTGAGATCTTAATATCATTGAGTAATGTGGATAATATGAACATTTGAAGGGTTTCTTTGTTTGTTTTGGTCTGTTTTTCTTTTTTTTTTTTTACTTTTCACCTGTGTTAATATTTGTTTCTGTTTTGGAAAATGAAGTGTGCAGAATTAGCTGTTAGCAGTTCCTTTTTGCTATTCATCATTAGAAGTGCTGACAGATATCACAAATAACACAATTACTTTTACACTCAAGTGTTCAAAATCCTGCCTCATTAGACCATATTCTCTCATAATAGTTTTCTCATAATTGACAGATCAGGTTGTCATTATCAGTTTTTTTTTCACAATTATAAAATCCTGTAATTATGAGATAGTCATAATCTTGAGATACGGAATTCATAATTATGAGATAACACACTTCTGTAGGAAAGTGATTAATTTTTGAATACTTTCAATTATATTTTCAGTACAGTTTACATCCAGTTTCGCCTAACATACTCTGAAGGCACCACAAAAACTGTCCTGATTTTCAGCATCACAAACCTCGAAAACTCTGTTTAAAGTATTATATATTTTTTAAAAGCTTCCTCTGACATTCATCTAATCATAATAACTTTAAGAATCATTCTGGGGTTTGTTCACCTCCATTTGTAAAACATAAGTTGATGAGAATTCTTACAGGAAATTGCTGCGATATTCCTGCATCGGTTCAAGATATTTAGTTTTGAATGTTTTGAATATTTTAAATAGAAGTCAACACAAATCACTAACCAACACCAGCATTCTTAACTCTTTTTATTTTGATATGTCTGAAATGTTATATCAGGTACAAGTATAAATTTATGTCATTTACTGTAACATCTGAACATTCAATTCAAAGCTCTGGAGTCAAAAATATTTAGACCCATAAAATGCACTGAAGTACAGTAAGAACATATTTTTTGCATTGTTGTCTGAAAGTAAAACACAAAAACAATTTGATTACTCAATACAATATCAAAAGTCACTGCTGTGTGTCCCAGTATCAGGGAAGCAGTTTTCCCTGATATTGTGACATTACAAAAAAAGCCTTTGAATAAACAGGAAATGGACTTGTTGATGATACAGTAACAGTAATTTCCCATCAGCTCACTTTGTGTAAAAAGAGCAAGTCATCTGAGCTGCTTGTGACTCCAGTGGTCTGTGAACAATGGCAGTCGGCACAACAGAGAATCAAGTATTGGCATGTGAACCAGCATTGTTTTGAAACAGGCATGTGTGATTAAAGTAATGCAAAAGACAAACAATAGGCTTAAACCTGAAACATCATATGCAGCTAAATACAGCAACTGCAAACTTTCTACCTTTTTTCAGATTTCCATAAATGTATTAATATCTTTACACTTTTGTCAACCAACCGTACGTCAGAATCACTTATCAAAATTGTGATTTTCATTTAAAAGATTTCAGTGTCACATGATATGTTCCCTCAAAACTGTTGTAAAAGATCCAACTCAGGAATGATGCATGTTTTGCAAACAAGATTAAAATTGAAAATGCTTTTAATAAACCAATTTTTCGCAGTAAACAACTTATTTTAATAATACTTTGATCTAAGTGTGTGAAAGTACTGCATGCAAAAGTACTATTAAATGACAGATCAATTCATGTGTAGTTTGGAAATCAATATTCATTAGCAGTTGCTCATGCAAACTATTACAAATGAGGTGAAAGAGTCTACTCTTGCCTCAAGCATTACAAAAAAGAAATGTAACATTGTAAAAAATACACATAAAAATTGCGATTAAATACAGTGTGTACAGCAATCAAAGACATCCAAAGAGACTTATTTCAGCAAGTTTCACTGCAAATGTGCAAACATACAGTATCACCATGCAGTCAGAGAGAAAACAGCCTGCGGCAGGTCAGCTGTTTACTTCCCGCTGACGTGTTTGGTTATAAAGGGAATGTTGTTTCTAATGTAATCTGACAAATTTTTTGCCACAATACAAGAACTTTAGAAAGTGCAAATGCAGCCAATTTCTCAAAATTTTCAAAACAAAACAGGAACAAGGGACAGTATGAAAATAAAATTTTAAAAAATGTTCTTGTGGAATCAGTGAGACAGTAAATAGATGGCATTTCCCTTATGTAAAAAAATCCCTCTTGTAACCTTCGCCTTTGATTATCAGCATCTGATCTTAGCTGTCAAAGAGCAATGTCAAACATGACGTAAACCTTCTTTACAGTGAGCTCTACAACTGAGGACAGTCAGACCAAATATCTTTAACTGCAGATGATGTTATTTTATTGTACGCGAGACTATACTCATCCCATTTTGAAAAGCAAATTTAATTGCTAAAATGGTCGGACTACATGTGCAGGTATGGTTGAAGCCGTAACAGCAACAGTCCCTGTCCAAATACTTACAGAGCTCACTGTATTTTGTACACAGGTAAATCCTGATTTGTGTCTTGGCAGCTGTTAGTATACAAACAAACTTTCTTAAAAGATGACCAAACAGATACACAGCCAAGGCAGCATGGAGTACTTCCATGTGTATACACAGATTAAAAAAAAAACAAAACAATTAAGACAGATATTAAAAGACATAATTGTCAAATTATATAAAGTAGTCATTTGTGGAAATGGTAAACCACCTGGATCCTGAGTTTCTTTATTGTGAATTGAAGTAAATCTTAATTTATACTACAGTGTATTACAGAAAGGGCTGCAACTAATGACTTTTTTCATTATAAATTAATCCGTAGATTATTTTTTTAGAATAATCAATAGGAAATTCTGTCTATAACATGATGATTATGATAATAAAAAATGATCATTACAGTTTTTTAGAGCCCAAAGTTTTGTCTTCACCAGTGTTTGTTCCACCAGTAATCCATAAAGTAAAGCAGCAAATCCTCATTTGAGAAGCTGAAACCAGCGTGTGTTTGGCATTCTTGCTTGAAGAATGACTGAAACAATTAATTGATTATCTAAATCGCTGAAGGTAATTTTCCTTTGATCAATTAAATGATTTATCGTTGAAGCTCTAATTACAGTAACTCTGGGTGTTGTCGATAGCTGCAAAGTTAAGAACATGAAGATCAGATTTTGATAACTAGCAAAGAGCTCTTGAATTTGACCAAATGATCAATGATAATCTCTGTCCTTTTCCCCAGCAGTAGATAAAACAGATGAAGTTAAGACACAACGCAGGCATCACTTTTGGGGTCTTGGGTCTCACCGTCTTTGACCTGACAGTTGTTGGTTGGACGTTTCTCTTTATTTTCTGAATCATCAGGCAGCTCAAAAGTGTCGCCATCCCCTGGAAAGATCCTGTCCTGCTCTGGAGTCTCAGCAGATGCATCCTCATAGGCACTTAAGTTGTCTGAGTCGTTCCTGTCCGGCGAAGGATCGCGTTCGTCATCGACACCATTTTCGTAAGGCCTCCGGAGAACCCCGTCTTCAGAGACCAGATTGTCCAGTGCAAGAGAGGGTATGTGGGCCAGGGGCTTACTGACCATCCTCCGCTGCTTTGTCAGGCCACTTCCTTCATCCTCGGCCTCTTCACCCTGACCCTCCTCCTCAGACGCTTGACCTCTGTTTTCACTGCTGTGAGGTTCACTCAGGGACGAGTCTTTGTCTTCTCTGTGTGCAGCTTGTCCTTGTCTCGTTGCCCCGTCTTCACTTCCACGTCTGTTCACAGGAGCAGATGGTTTATTCCTTTCCTGCACAGACAAATTTAATTGTGGATTAGTAAATCAAGAGCCCTTTCAGATAAAAATAAAAATATAATCAAATTTGAAAATTAATGTGATGCATTTTAATTCCAATTGTAATGTGTACAAACTTAAATGTGAGATTTAAACATGAAAAAATGTTTTGATTATTATTTTATTGCTTTTCCCTCTTATGGATATAATGCGCAAAAGCAGATAATCAAATCATTTGAATCTAGGTGTTGTTTTAGGAGGAATAATTCAATGTCATTTTTGGCGACATTACTCTGTGATGTTTTGTTATATTCTTATTTCATTTGTCACGTTACCTCTTTTAATCTCTCCACCTCTTGCATCAGAGAGCAGACCATGCTCTCCAGCTTCGTCTTGGCCTCCTTCTCTCGCGCCAACTCCTACAAATGCAGAGAGACACGGTCCCATCATGAGACGACCAGCAGCTTGTTGGTTTTAAACGTACTTGTTACAATTAGGAACAAAAGTGAAGTGGTGTTTCAGTTTTGGTGAGGCCTCAACATACCAAAGTAGCCTGTCCAGCTTCCCTCTGGGCCTCAGCCAGCAGCTCCTCTACGCCCTCCAGTGTGTCCTGCAGGACATCCACCTGGAACAACAGAGCCTCTCGCTCGACCTCCAGCCCACGCAGCTCCTGCACCACCTCATCATAGCTGGCCTGCAGCTCCAGCTACGCCACAAACACAGTTACAAATCAGTGTGGGCAATTTCAGAGGAACACGTGACAGTCAGTGGGAGGGCGAGTGTTTAGTGAGCTCTGAGGTGGGAGGCCTAATCTGGAAGCATGACAATCCCTCCATATGTAAAGGAATCGTCTAATAATCACCAATATTATCAATAATAATATTACATCCATAAGAATCATCTAATAATATACCTGACAGAACTGTGAACAAACAGTGTAATAGTTTATAATTATGATAACCATCATTATATTCATAATAATAAAAACAGTAAGAAATAGTCACCATTTCTGGGAGTCCCATGAAGAGATCCTGGTCAGATTGCTGAAAGGAGAAAATGTAAAAAGCAAATTCATTCGTAAATGAAACTTTTCTTTTTGATTACATTAAATGAAGACAAACGGGGCTGTAGAGGAGCATTTGCTGTTCATCCTCTCATACACCCAAAATAATAATAACATAAAGTTATGTGTGAAACATTACTTGAAAATTATGGTGTTAAAAATGACCATACACTTGATTGACAAATTTAATAATCATAAGTTTTCATGAAGGAAATCTTATTATATCATAAAATTCTGTTCCTGTTACTAAGTCACGTCTTTACTTGGACTGATGATATCACAGACAAGAGCCTTCAGTTTGAGTTGTTAGACCTTTTTCACAGACAACATTTTGACACGTCACAGTAGAAAAAAATAGATAATAAATAAATAATTAAAATGAATGATGACTGAATTACATTTAACTACTTCATTTCTGGAAAATTTCAGCTATAATTGCAACTCCAAACTTTTTACCAAACACTGTTACTGCTTAGTGGCGTCTTCATAGTATTTTGATTGAACACTTGATCGACCCTAGGTTTTCATTTTATGTTCATATAGTTGATCCTCTGGTGTCTCACAATCTAATGGGTCTCAGGTTTCGGTACACTGAAATCCCAGCTATCAAAACGTGTGACCTATGTAAATACTGTTGACGCACCATGTTTGATAACAGCTCTCAGTATGTGATAAAGTATGATGAAAATGCTTGGTGTGGCAACACGGTCTCAGGTCTCAATAAATGACTTACTAAGACACTTAAACTGGCTTTTTTTCCACATTAGACTCACAGTTTTTTCCTTAGTGGTGGTAAATTAGAGGAAAACAGCACACAGCACCAGAAATAGCATTGTTTTTTAAAGATGGGTTGGCTGAATGTGAGTTTGGATTTTCTGTAAATAATCTTTGTGACATGGATTATCAAGGTAAATATTAAGCTGTACGTCAGTCAGTATAAGTATTATCATATAAATGTACTTAAATCATCAAAAGTAAAAGTACTCATGTCCCCTGTGAATAATGTGTTATTATATAAGAGCTGGTCAAGGTGGAGCTGGACAGAAGTTCCCAACCTAGGTGTCCCTACAAAGAGTTGTGAGATGATTAATGAGGTAAGACAAACAAAGCTCTAACAAATGATTGTATATTCATAGATTTCTCGAATCTTTAATATGTGGAGGATAGCGGATACATTTTCTTTATTTTATGCTTGCACATTGAATGGCCTCTGTGTATGATAATGTGCTATACAAATAAATTTGCCTTGCCTTTAGGCCTCAAATAGCTGATTAAAATTAAACAATGTAAGAAATGTAAAGGGAAAACGCCCCAATTAGACATCACAACTCAACACGTTTGGGAACTACTTGCTTAATCTTTAACATTGTGTTGTATTTTATGAGCTTATCATATGTGAAAACTTAATTTGCTGCTGTTTAACTACTAACCACAGTTGTCAAATTAATGCAGTGTAAATAAAAAAAGCTATGAAGTAGAATGAAATGGAAATGCCCAAGTAAAGTACACGTACTTGAGAACTGTAGGCTACTTGAGAAAATGTACAGTTACTGTGCACCACTGATCAATAAGAAGTGGGTAAACTGCAGATAACCAGGACCCCGGTCAGGTTAGATAAGTATTACAGTGTAACTACAGGTGTTTCTATTTTTCTGGCCACCCCTGGCTCCTGAGCGTGATGTCTGGCTCCTACCTGGCTGTCGCTCCTCCTCTTCAGGGTGCCTGGTCGGCTGTCGCTTCGTGTCAGACGCCTGGATGAACTCTCAGTCTGGTGATAAAGAGACAAAGACACATCTCAAGCAGAGCCCGGGATCACGTACAGCCACAACAAAAACAAAAACACATGGAGTCAGCTTATAATGGGGAAGTGGTCCGAAGAAACAGGCCTGTTCAAAACAACTGATTGTTTATCTGAGCCGCTGTTCGTCTTAAACCGCAAACAAAATGTCTTAACGTCTCACTGACTACATATTTCTAACGTAAATAGATTTAAAACACTGAAATTGAAGTATAAAACAGTCGTGACGTTAGCTTTAGCTCTACACAAACCCTCTCGCCGCCGACGCCGTGATTTCCCTCGGCTCACCTCTTTTATAATGCTGCGGAGAGACTCGTCCTCGCTCAGTCCCCGAGAAAACGTCCGCTTCTTTGGAGAACCACTGCTGTCCAGCGTGACTGAATGCATTTTTATGGTTTATATTAAGCCTTTGTTTATGTAAGAGACACCTCCGAGCTCTCTGGGTGAAGTGGTGTTTGGTGTTTGTCTCCTACGCAGCAGCAGCAATGAGTGCACTGTCGACGCCCAGGCCGTGACCTACGGAAAGCCACGGGGACCAGATTGTCTTGAACACCGCCGTCACTCCGCCCACATTCACAGAAAAAGTCAAAGATCGCAGGAGAGTGATGTTTGGAGCTGTGGGGAGTTAAAAAATAAATCGCTTTTTGTTTGTTTTAAAGATCAGATAAGCAGGATGGCGCATGTCAAGCCGAAATGAATCAATGACAACAAGGCCCGCCAGGTATTTTCAGTTGAGTTTGGTGGTTTATGAGAAAAGTAACTGAGTAGCTACATTTACTCATATAGTTTGAGATAGTAGTTGCTTACTTGAAATAGGTGTATATTTTTGCTACTTCACAACTGCTCCTCTGCATTTTTTCCACTATATTTATTGCAATATTATATATTAAGATATCCAGCAGTATAGAGTCATTAAAATTAGCCCCACCTTTACCAGTTGCAGGATTAAGTTGGTGTGCAAATTAAGACATTAAAAACTACAATCCAATAATGCTGATAATATATTATTATAAAATAGGCAGTTCTGCATAATGAGTACTTTCACTTTTAGTCAGTTGGCAGTTTATTGGACCCAGCTAGCTAAAACTAATGCAGTCCAGTACAACAGTCCTGCAATAAAACCAACCCTCCTAAGCGTTATAAGGTTCAGTTTTTGTTGAAACTGTTTTAGAGAGAGAACAGGGTGTTGATTCATTTTTATGATCATTTTGGAGGCTGCAGTTTGTGGTGATGTTAAATTGTATTGCGTTAGAGAGAGGCAGGTGTTTATATTTATTTATTTTTGTCCACTTCATTCATATCAATGGATGTAGGTTAATTGGCAGAAACACCTCGCTGTGTAACATAAAACTGTTCAACAGCTCCACAATCTACATCATACAGTTGACTCAACACCTCTCTAACACAGTTTCAATAAAAACTGAACATTATAATCTTCAGGAAGGGGGATTTATTGCAGGACTCATGTATTACTGCATTACACTGTATTAGTTTTGGCTAGGTGTTCCTAATAAACTAACAGCTGAGGGTATATTGATACCAATACGTTTGTACTTTAACTTAAGTAAAACTTTGAATGTAGGCCTTACACTTGTAACAGTGTTTCTATTTTTACTTTATATTGAAGATCTGAATGCTGCTTCCACCACTACTGCGAGGTATTTTCAGATGAGTTTGATGGTTTATCAGTACTTTGTGGAAAAGTAGATCTCTGCCACTTAAACTTTGGTAAACACCACATCCTTGTTTTTTATTTCAATGAGCTAACATTAAGTTCAACATGACTGTGTAGTCAGATCAGATAACACCACTATATCTGCAATGTACAGTACGTTCGTCTCCACAGAGAAAAGACTGTGGTGAGTATTTCCTCCAACAGAGTCGCTGCAGACTGAGATGGCAGAGACATGGTGTAGTTTTGTCCCACAGATACTCCAGAAATATCACCCCAGTTCCTGTCCAGTTGAAACAAACTCCCAAGCAGTGCATGCATTCATACAGATCCCCAGAAGGAGCATGAGATGAATGAGAGTGTACATCCATGCTGAGAGGAATGACATGGCAACATGCCAACAATACTTGCCATTATGATACAGTCTGCAGCAGTTTAATATAGGGGTCATATATCAGTAAGCACATGTAAATATAACATAGATAGTTTTTGTATTTGTTCAGTAAACATACTTATACTAAGAATTTAAATTGCAAATCAGGTCTAAGTTGGTAACATTTCATTTCATTTGAAGTTGCAGATCATAGATTTAATACACAGAAACATTATTTTCGCCATGCTGGGTCACATGAGTGAAGGGAAAAGGTCTGTGTTACCCAAACCTGGATTTTCTGCCCAAGTGCTCTTACAAGAATAACTTTTTGTCATGAAGTCATGTGGCATTAAAGGTATAGCTTGACACTTAATAATAACGCTTTCCTGCTGAGATTTAGATCAGAAGATTGATACAGTCTGTATCAACCTGCTGTGTGTCTGTATGGCAAGGGTGATGCTACAACCAGGAGACATTTAGCCTATCTTAGCATAAAGACAAAAACAGCTAGCCTGGCTGAGTAAAATGGTAGCAAAATCCCATCAGCACCTTTGAAAATCACTAATCAACACGTTATATCTTGTTTGTTAAATCCGTAAAAGTTGTGCAGATTAAACAAAAAAAAGACATAACATGCAGCTTACATGAAAACTAAAAACTTACACATGATCTGCTCTGCAGCTGCAACTATGTTTCCCTCCAGCAGATGACACCAGTGGGTCAGTGTTGCCACAGTGACTACAGGAAACCCATTGCTCCACAAGGGGCATCTGTAGAAGTCTGCTCCAGAAATATCACAACTTTTATCAAGCATGTATACAGTCATGAAAACAGTATCTCTGCATGGTTTGTAGCTCGGCAACTTTTGATTACATCCTGAGGTTTTTGCGTATAGGATGAGTTTATAGATGAAATATGACTCAGATAGAGCTTAAAATTTCACAATGCATAATAATGAAAGGAGAAGCAATATAGAAATGCATGACACTTTAATTGGACTCACCAGTTGCATAAATAAGTAGGCCTATAATTCATTTTATGAAAAGGTATGCTGCTGCTGCATGAATGATTGCAAAACCTATTGATATGTTAACCATTTATTACTTTTTTCACCATGCTGCCTAAAGGGATTTAGCCTTTCTAAAAGCTTAATGATGCAACCATGAGTCTGTAGAGAAGGGCATATAACTACTTTTCTGGAGACTAACGCTTAGTTTAAAGATCCCTGCTTGGCAAAACCATGTGCAACATCTTAATAATCAGGTAATAACCATCCGGTGCACGAAGATCCAATATAAGTGATTTTTGTTTTTTTGTTGTTTTGGTTTTTTTTTTTAAACTAAAATGCACCATAAACATTTAGATGGGTGTGATTTGTGGGTGGATGTGGAGAGTTAGAGAGGAATCCATGCGGCTTTTTTTCCCCCAGTTTACACCATTAAAATCATTTATAACAACAGGCGCAGTGAGCCATAGTTTCTGCCATCATCATAATAACCTAATTGGGCAATATCTCTAATGTGAGACATTGTTAGTGCACTGTAAAAACATTTATACTCTCATAACAGTGCCTGCACCCTCCCTTCGCTCTGTCCCTCTTGACTTGGTGACAGACCTAAAAGCCTTTTGTTGCAATCTTAGCCAATGGAGACGGATTACGACACCGGGCAGCTGAGATATATAAAGAGCCCCTTTTTGACCGCACTTGCACATTTTTCAGTGACACTTCTGAACATTCACACACCTCCATGGACTAAATTGTACAGAAGACCCACAAAACAACCATTATACTACATGTGAGCGGGCTATGCATTCATCAGACAGATAATTTGTTAACTTTCAATCAAAGCAGCCTGTACCGAGACACACTGGAACGCACTTTTTTTTTTTTTTTTGAAAATTTATTGCAAAAGCTCCTGCTGCAAAAAAAAAGCAACTTCTGGGTGATCGTACTGGATTAGATGCATGTCACTGATTCCCTGCCTTTTGTAGGATAAGGCAAGCAGCGGCGCACATCCGAGAGAGGGGATATAACGGGATAAAGGGAGTAAAAAAAGACAAGAAAAAGAAAGAAAAAGTTGCATTGCCTGGTGTTCGCGCATCGTCATGCCGAGGTACAACTTCTTACTGTGCTTGATGGTGCTCATCTCCCTGGGACAGTCGGGGAGCGATGAGCCCAATCTGCTGCTGCCTCCTGCCAGCGAGACGCCCACGGATGCCGGGCTGTCTCTGCTGGACGAGGACGCCGGTGCTCACGAGTGTTCCGCCTGTGTCTGGAGGGAGCAGAGCAAAGTGCTGAGACTGGAGACTATTAAGTCCCAGATCCTGAGCAAACTGCGTCTGAAGCAGGCGCCCAACATCAGCCGGGAGGTGGTCAATCAGCTGCTGCCCAAGGCGCCTCCGCTCCAGCAGCTCCTGGACCATCACGACTTCCAGGGAGACGCGTCGTCCCAGGATGAGTTTATGGAGGAGGATGAGTACCACGCCACCACGGAGTCCGTGATCACCATGGCCTCTGAGCGTGAGTAATCGTTTACAACCCAACAATATTGTCTCCAAATGCGTCATGCGCGTAATTGCGGAGCAGATAGGTTGAAGTGTCTCAGGCCTGCTGCGTGGACAGTGGAGCCGCTGTGGCTCAGTCAAGTCAGTGACCTAACCTACTTTTCGAGATTGGGATCTGGGGGTCCACTCTGTGTGTCTGGAGCGGGCTGATAAAATTAGACAAATGGCTCTGGTCAGCTGTTTGCCACGGCTGTCAAAATAGGGATTAACGTGTGGACCTGATAAATCAATAATCAGCAGCATAAAGAGCCCTGTCACTCTGAAACAGACAGCTCCAATATGGCCTGATGAACTTTTGTTTTCATGGTGATGATCATGATGATGATGATGAGGAGGAGGAGGGGGGAGGAGGATGGAGGGCTAAGTGCTGTTGGAGCAGGGTGTCTAATATTTAGCTGCTGAACTCCTCAGTCCACCTTCCTGCTGTCATGTTCAAACTTTCCCTCTCTGAGATCGTTTTTGTGTGCAACGCATGGCAGACCCGCTTGAATGTCAAGTGCATTATTAATGATAATGCAGCATTTGGCTGGCAGTTGCATCACTTTATCCTTTATGTCCTGTTTTGCATAAAAGCCCTAAATTCTGGAGTTATGATCACGTCGTGAGGCCCTCTGATTATTGCCCCCTGACAATTTGCTCGCCCTCTTATGGTTTCCCATAAATCCACAGATAAACCGCAGGCAGGCCCCTTAGAGACATTTTATAAAATTACTGTTGAACCCTGGCAGCTGTGCTCTATCGGTCTTTTATAGGAGGCTCTACCGGTTTCCCTGCTGTTCATCGCAGTGAGAAAAAGTGTGTCCAAAAAGCTGCTATTGTTCCCCTCATGCAGCGGCCCCCCTCGGCCGCACTTGCCTTTTAAATGCGAAGTTTATAGGCGCAGCTCGTTTTTTTTTCACCACGAGTACACAAAGACAGAGAATCACTTAGTGTCGAGGGGAGTGTGTGACCTTTTCCTGGCGAATCGCGGGGTTCAACAACATTTACACACGTAATATATTCTGCACAAGGCGGATGAAACACACTCCAAATAATCAGTTTTTTTTTTACTCCAGAGTGAACAAAGATAGGCCTGTGTTCAGGAGACTGTGGCTTTATGTGTTGTCTGACATAATTAATTTATCATTATAATATTATCTATCTATCTATCTATCTATCTATCTATCTATCTATCTATCTATCTATCTATCTATCTATCTATCTATCTATCTATCTATCTATCTGTCTGTCTGTCTGTCTGTCTGTCTGTCTATCTGCGTACTAAAGGAGCCTATAGTGTCTCCATACCGGTTAATTAGCTTTTGAATAAATTGGTCCAGGCCTATGTTTGGTCTATTTTGATATCTTGTACTTTAATTTTACTGACACCTCCATCACCTGTGCTGACAGCCCCGCCTGTCTCTGTCATCAGCTGACAGTTGTAACTGCAGGTCATCTGAATCGCTCCTGTTCCAGCGCTCTCTTTTAACTACTTATCATTTTAAAATACCACTTGCAAAACTCTTTTCGAAAAAACCTTGTGTACATCGTAAAAATAGTTTCCTCTGAGAGTTGCTCGGCTGATGTCTTATATCTTACAAGTGACATATAGAGGCATTGTGAGGTATTTGAGTTACTGTCTATCCATCTATCTATCTATCTATCTATCTATCTATCTATCTATCTATCTATCTATCTATCTATCTATCTATCTATCTATCTATCTATCTATCTATGTTTCTCATATACTTGCTCACAAACACTCATACTGTATGTGATATATGCTGACAACTGAAACTTTCTGTAATAACCTGCTGTGATTTCTCTGATGTGCAGATCAGTGCTTTACTGGCTTATCCCCTCTCCACTTGTAAATATAGACAAGATGAAACTCCCTCCATCTCAACACCCTCAGCTGTACATTACAGAGGAAACAATAACCTCCAACTATATTTTTGACTCTTTGCTTCCCATCCTCTGCACGCAAACAAACAAACACACAAACACACACACACACAGACGCACAAAACACCATGCCGAGTGATTTGATACCTTCTCAAGCCAAAGGAAAGGTATTATGTATGACGCTGGCTAATTGCATACTTCTGACAGCATCACGCCAGCCAGAGGAGCTTAATGACTGACATTACTGCTATATCTGTCATGTTACAGCACTTCCTCTCTGCTCTGTTTGCCTCATCTCTTTATGTCAGCTGCAGTTTTTATCATCTGCTCCTTCTCTCTCTCTCTCTCTCTCTCTCTCTCTTCCCCCTCCCTCACCCCCCACCCACCCGCAACCACTCCCAGCCCCCACATTCCTCCCCGTTAGCCCCCTCTCTCCTTCCTCCTCTTTTCTCCGGTACTCATGGAAGAGTTGAGAGAATGAGTGCATCTTTTTTGCCTGTGGCGCCTTAGTGATCCCACAGGATTAAAAGTGCCTTTTTCTGTCTCTCTGATAGAAGGAGGACTTCAAACACTATTCCCTGCGCACCTCGAACCCAATCACCCTTTCACGGTCGTGCACACTGCCTTTGATGGGCCATGTGGGTTCACACAGTACATACTGAACTGGACCTGTGCCAGAGTTGCTTCTTAGTATTCACTCAAGGTACGTGGGTGCCGCAGTGGGGGTTGAGAGGGTCCATGCTTCCTGGTCTCTAATTACTATGAAATTTCATGGAAAAGTACAGCTATTTATATCATAGTGCGGCACTTTATGTACTAAAACATCTCCCTCCATACAGCGTGTTGTGTAGGTAACCGCTCCGCTTGCTGCTCATGCAGAAAAGGTGACTCGGTTTATGAGCAGTTTATCAGGGGAATTTTCTACTGCAGCACTGACAATGAGTGTTGATGATTTTTTCTTAATCAACAAATCTGTTTGCATTAACATATGAGCTGAAGTGCGGGAGTTTGTACATGTTGATTTATGTGTGTAATTGTCATGAGCGCTTGTGCAAAGTGTGTATTTTGGAGCTTGGTTTGTTTTGCCTGAGGTGGGGTGAGGATTTGACCCCTCTAGTCTCCCATTTGTCACCTGTCCAAGACATTTAGACCAGACCTTCCTCTGCCATCAGAGACCTTGTCCTCCTTTCTGTCTCTCTCTCTCTCTCTCTCTCTGTGTTTTGATGCTGACACGCTATTTGACGTCTGGCAACTCCAGAAGAACTTAATGTATTCTTGATCCTTTTTTGCTGTGGGTAAACTTTTTTTGTGTCTGTGTGCTGTGACAGTAATTTTAAGATTGTCCAGTAACAGAGAATCCAGCAGAGAGCAGCACTGGCTTACCCTCCTTCCCAGCCTTTATTCCATGTTTAAGTTTTATTCCAGCAAATGGACACGTTAGTGTGTCCAGAATGTGGGGAATCAGTGACTGTTTGCAGGGAAACACTTCACTTTTAAGGGGATTAATACTGAGGTTTAGATATAAAAGATCACATTTGAAACATTTCCAATACCACTCAGTTCTTCTTGAGACCTCTCACTTTGTTAAACTTTTTTATACCCACATTTTGTCTTGTCCGTCTTGACTTTGTGTAGGCTAACATCACAAAGTGCTATACTGGTATTATTATGTAATCTCGTTAAGATGAGGCACATTCAGTTCAAGCACAGGCTTACACAACTCTGCAGTACATAAAATGGACATCCACACACATGTAAAGGTATGTATGTACAAATTTCCACATGTTCACACTTGTGTAGATGCATAAGGATGCTCACACACAGTCACACACACTCACACACCCACACACACAGTCACACACACACTCCAGAGAAAAGTTCTCCTATTGACAAAAAGGGTCACAGAGTTCACAGCTATGTGATATATTGGAAGAGGAGACTATTAACCTCATCGGGTCTCTTTCTTTGGCAGCAAAGACGAACCGGTAGTAACTTGAACACTTATCCCCCACCACACACACACACACACACACACGCTCACACACACTCATCCACTAACCACTCCCACAAAAAAACAAGTCTTTTATAGTGTTGACCCTATAAAAGGGTCATTTCCTGAAGGTGCAGGAACCATAAAAATTAAGAGGGAGAGCGCTAAAAGGACAGAGCAGCAGAAGTCGGACTGTCTTCAACTCGCTGGCCAGTGTTTGCCGGAAGTTGATGACTATGTGAGGTTTTTATAGATTTATTTATTCCATGGAGGTCTCAGTTTGACGATGACACCTGTTCTCCCTGTGTCGTTGCTGGCATCAGTTGAGGGAAAGATAAACTTTGGTGTTGAATTGTTTGGAGGCCGGGGCACGACCGGTTTGTTTAAAAAGGAGTAAAAACTCAAGAAAGAAAGGTCTGTAGGACTGTAGAAATTGCACAACATACTGTCAACTTTATGGCTAATAAAATTTCAAAGGGACCAAAGTCTATTAATACAGGGACAAAATTTCCCCAGGACCTCAGGAATCTCACTCCTTCCACCCTCCTTCCCCTATTCCCACGCTCCCGTGTACCAGTCCCTGCAGCCGGTCTTTTCTTTTGGCATTTGGGAGTATGTTGCTTTGGAATTTAATGCATGCTTTCACCAAAAATACAACACTGAGAAGTTTGGAGAATGGATGCAAGACTGCATCAATGTCAGTCAGGAAGAATTGGCTGTGCAAGAATATGTTTTGTCCCCTACGTTTTCAGCTGGTGTGTGTATCCACTGCTGAGCTCTTCATGGTTTCTTTAAAGGATTTCAAAGAGTGTGATCGAGTTAGGTGCACCGCGGCTCATGCTGTGGGTATGAAGGGGGGGGTGGGGGTGAAGGGAAGAAGGGAGTGAGTCCGCAGGGAGCAACAAGCAGCCCAGTCCTATCCTAAAGGGACAGAAATCATGGAAGGGTTTTATAGGTACAATTAAAAAGACCTGAAACAGATGTTACGTTTCACTAATAAAGGAAATAATTACTTCGCACCAGTAATTAAGCCCTGTGTAGGGACATGAGTAAGGAGGAGGAGGAGGAGGGGAGTGAAAAGA